AATAGTGCTAACCACTGGGCCACCGTGCCACCCATCTAGGAAGGAGGAGGAGTAGGAGTGAAAGGGGGGGATTCAAAATGAAGATGGCTGTTATATGGAACTTACTCTTATTTATAGTGGCTTAGGAATTGTCTGTATCACAACTAACACTTGTTTTGATTTTTGGGGTTATTCTTAATCTGCTGGAAGTAATTTGTTAATTTGTGTCCAGTTGTTTTCACTGATTGTTTACAGTAAAAAGGGACAGTTTACCCAAAAAGTAAAATTATTCAACCATTTACTCATCCTTTGCTTGTTTAAAACCTAGTTTCTTTCTTCTTTTGAACACAAAAAAAAATGTATATTGAATAATGCTGGTTGCTTTCAAGCATTGATTCCATAGTCATTTTAATTACTACAATGCAATGTAAAGAAATTCTTGCTGCCTTCATTTTTGTGTTGAATCAAATTTAACTTTTGTTGCCATGTCAACTTATATGAATTAAAAATATTAAATTAAACTTAGCGGCAAGGCAGTGGCGCACTAGGTAGTGCTGTCGCCTCACAGCAAGAAGGTCGCTGAGTCACTGGTTCGAACCTCGGCTCAGTTGGCGTTTCTGTGTAGAGTTCGCATGTTCTCCCTGCCTTCGCGTGGGTTTCCTCCGGTTTCCCCCACAGTCCAAAGACATGCGGTACAGGTGAATTGGGTAGGCTAAATTGTCTGTAGTGTGTGAGTGTGTGTGGATGTTTCCCAGAGATGGGTTGCGGCTGGAAGGGCATTCGCTGAGTAAAAACTTGCTGTATAAGTTGGTGGTTCATTCCGCTGTGGCGACCCCGGATTAATAAAGAGACTAAGCCGACAAGAAAATGAATGAATGAATGAATGAAAATTAAACTTAGCACAACTTAAAGTATGTAGTTGAAACCTGATTATGAGTTCCAGAATATTTGTAGTCTTGACTTTTTGTGAATCATTTGTTTACAGTGTGAAAGTTGGTCCCAGCCATCAATATTCTTCTAAATATGTTCTTTTGTGTTCAACAGATGAGTCATTTTAATTTTTGGGTGTACTGTCCCTTTAATAGGGGTTGCTTGGGTTTGATTCTCGCAAAGCTTCATGAGGCTTTGCAATATCATGGCTTCACATGGATGTACTTAAGAAAATAACCCCAGAGAGATAGCAGATAAGGGGGCAGGGGATGGAGGTCTGCAGAAGGGGGTTATTGCCTGAGCTCATCGTCTGGCCGCTCGGGGGCATTCAGACTTGAATTAAATGGGGGTGTGATGGGGTGTTTTTAAGAAAGGGGGGGTAGGTATTAAAAGCTGCTGTGTCCACATGCATATCTTAAATTGTTTATCATGCAAATTTCTCCAAGCGTGAACCTTTAATGGATTCACCATTTACAGCCGATACAGAATTCCATCTGTTGTGACGGACATCTGCTTGCAGGACGCGACAGATCACGCGTGTGCTTCACATGTAACGGCGAAAGCGTGTGACCTGTCTGGACTTGTACGGGAAAATGTTGTACATGGTGAGAAATAGTGCTATAGGCAGGGATGGGCAGTATTTATGACACAAGTATTTCAAATATGTGTTGTAAATACAAAATAGTATTTTGTAATTTGTATTTGATAGGGATGATAAAAATGGCTTCATATTTTGTATCAAAATACTTGAGTGTCGTGTATTTTTGCAGTTTTTAAATACTGTAAAATACTTTGTAGGAAGTCTACATGGTGACTATATAAAAATGCGGCCTCTGATTTGTGCTTTCTCTGTTATTTGCCTAGGCTTAAGATCAGAACAGAAAACTATTTTATATTGAAGACGGTGGATAATGCATAGAGTATGGAAAGAAAATTATGCATCACATACTCTCAGAAAAAATTGTAAAATGTTGTACCAAAGAAGGTACAAACCCTTGTCACTGGGGCAGTACCTTTTTATGGAACAGAATTGCACCTTACGACAAAGAAACACAGTTGTACCGTTGAGTTTTTACCTTTAGGGACCTGATTTGTTTTATGGGAAACCAAAATGTCCCTTTGATTTTTAAAACCTGCAGATACAATATTATACCGTCATTAAAAGTACAAATCTGATCCATAAAGGCACCACTATAGTGACAAGACACTTTGTACCTTAACAGTGTCAAATGTGTTCCTTTAAGAACTGTTTAAAAGCGTTTCGCTTTATCCAAAATGCGTCAATTTATTTTCAGTAAATATGAAACATCAAATATATTTTAAAACCATGTTTTTAAAAACATTTAATTGTGTGTAAATGCACATTTTCCTTTACAATAAAGAATAAAAAAATACTTTAACATAAATCAAAAGATCTATCATTTACATTTAGTCATTTAGCAGACGCTTTTATCCAAAGCGACTTACAAATGAGGACAAGGAAACAATTTACACAACTATAAGAGCAACAATGAATAAGTGCGATAGGCAAGTTTCAGGTCTGTAAAGTCTAAGAACTTATCTTTTTTTTGGGTACAGTTACTGGTATATCTAGAGAGGCAATTGCAGATTAGGAAGTGAAGTGGAGACTAAATAGTTGAGTTTTTAGTCGTTTCTTGAAAACAGCGAGTGACTCTGCCATTCTGATGCAGTTAGGGAGTTCATTCCACCAACTGGGCAGATTGAACGAGAGCGTTCAGGAAAGTGATTTCTTCCCTCTTTGGGATGGAACCACGAGGCGACGTTCTTTCACAGAACGCAAGTTTCTGGAGGGCACATAAATCTGCAGAAGTGAGAGCAGATAAGAAGGAGCAAAGCCAGAAGTCGCTTTGTAGGCAAACATCAGAGCTTAGAATTTGATGCGAGCAGCAACTGGCAGCCAGTGCAAACGGATGAGCAGCGGAGTGACATGTGCTCTTTTAGGTTCATTAAAGACCACTCGTGCTGCTGCGTTCTGGAGCAGCTGAAGAGGCTTGATAGAGTTACCTGGAAGCCCTGCTAGTAGAGATCACAACACTTTTCACAAACATGTTACGAAACACATTCTCCAATGTACAATATAAAACTTTTTTTCTCCAATTTTCACACGATACCTTTGTAATCATTTAATTTAATTATTTTAAAATAGAAACAGAGTTATGCAAAAGTATTGTAATGAGATATGCACAATGTTTGATGAGCTTTACAATACTAAAATGCACACGTTGCATATGCGGGACCATTGCCAGCTCACGTGTGTAGTGTAAAGCAAACACCAAAAGGTGCGGATATCAATAATGAAAATGTATTCATCAGAAAATGCTTACCAAATGATTATTAAAAATGCCTTAAATCTTTAGTTTACAATATATATAGTTTTGTTTTACCAATTATTTTGTATTATAGAACTTAATACTTAATGTTTATGAGTTTCTTTAAACATGCTTTAAAATGATGATTCATGTTTTAATATGAAAATTATTCATAAAGCACTTTGCCTGTTCAGTAATATTTATTTTCATAGATATTGTAATAAAGAAGGAGTTGTCCAACATTGATGTATTTTTATGAGAACAATTGTGTATCTTCATTTCAGTTGTACCATAAAAGAACAGTATCATAAAAGATCTTTTCTGTACCATATAAGGTACAACTTTTACAAAGGTACAAAACTGTTCCTTAAGAAACATTATTTGTACCACCGTGTATCTTTTTTTCTGAGAGCGTAGCAGGGATATTGTAAATGCATAACTGCAACATAAAATCATAATATGTTTTTCCTCGCTGTGGTTAACGCAAAAAAGTCACTCTTTCATAATGGACCCTTTTCATAACCCTGCTATAAGGCGTTTCTTGGTTATTGGCATCTTAAATACTTGAAAGTTTTTAATAGTTATATATTTTTTTAAAAGTATTAACATTTATATGTATTTATGAATGTAGTATCTTTGCTTCAAATTACAAAAAAAAAATTACCGCTTGTGCGAGGCATTTTTATTGCAGCGTCTACATGGCAGGAGAGTAAATTTGACGTTATTCTCTCCTCTGGCTGCCGTCTCACACAATTTGTTTCTTTTTTTCTTTATAACATCATCATGGAGTTTTTCTTTAATTATTTCAGCAAATAAGATTGTACAAATACAAATATTTGTTGTATTCTCTCATTCAATATGTTTTCCCAACAACGATGACTTCTCCTACTGAGAAACCCGGAAATGTAAAAAGGGTCTGTAATGAAAATGACTACAATCCGTAATAATCTCCGACAGGTCTTATCTCACACAATATTTACTACTTAATTTAAATTACATTTTTTAACCCAACTCTTGAATTTGTCCATATTTAACCTACACTCAAAAAATTACATTTGCTGTTCGTTCTTATTTAAAATGAGCTGAAACAACACAATTCTTAGCAGATTTTTTGGGACAACTTAATTGTTTAATGTTTAATCCACTTACGTTAGCAAAACCGATTAAGTTAGCGGCGACACGAAGGAACTCTGTTAAGACAACCCAGGATTTTTTTAATAGTACACGAATATATTATAATATAATCACAATTCAAACTAAAAGATTTGTCTGGGACAAGTTGAAACAGCATCACAACGGAAACCCGACAAAAAGAATTAGCATCCTAGCAGGGAAACTGTAAATCTATAACTGCAACATAATATCATAATGCATGCTGCATGTTTTTCCTTGCTGTGGCTAACGCAAAAAGAATCACTCTTTCATAATTATGAAAATGACTACAATCTGTAAAAATCTGCGGCAGGTCTTTTCTCAGACAGCTGAAAATGATTTTCTAGTCTTCTTTTTTTACGCTCTGCAGCTATATATTTACTGGAGTGAGATACGACCTTGTGAAAACCACACTAAACGCAGCAACATCTGTGGAAAAACCACATGAGAGAACTGAGAAAATGCCCATTCATAGTGACAGCGAGGACACTATTTTCATCACAGAAAGTGGAAGGCTGTAAAAAAAAAAACGTCAGCAGGAACATGGTATTCATCAGGGCCTTCCAATTAGAAGTTTAGCCTCTCATACACAAGCATCTGTTACTCTACCTGATAAATTCTCCTGCTTGGGCCGTAATCCATGTGGCGTGGAGGCTAAACGCTCCTCTCCGTGGGGCGAAACTTGAACCGCCACCTCCACTGGGATGCAGGCTCGCCGCAGGCCTGCGGGGGGAGGCGATGGTGGCAGGTCTGAACTTTTGTCCATGCATAGGCGCCCTTGACACTGCCTGCGTTTGTGCTCAATGAACACCAGGATGTCGGCCAAAGGAAACCTGGAGCGGCACTGACCACAGGTGAGGAGGTCCTGGTCCCCTTTAGGGGTGGATGGTTCTGATCCGGGATTGCTTTCCCCGTCCTCTGGGATATCTGCCGTCACGGGCTCGGCTACAGTAGGAGAAATGCAGAAAATAGGTGTGAGAGATGATATGGTGAAACCTGATAATGACTTTATAAGTGCTAATTACACATGTAGCATAAGTGATAATTATATTCCAGTCCATTTGAATGGAAATGTGTTGCAGAGGTGTTACATGGCATGGGTTGATGACAGGACATTTCAATCGACATGACAATTCCACTCAAAACTTTAATTATTGAAGACTTCCATTCAAGATCATGTGACTGAAGCCCCCTGAGAAGCTCATAACATGCACTTGATATTTAACTTTTGGGCAATTTTTATCATACAAGTATTACAAATATGCATTTTCAATACAAAATAGTATTTTGTAATTTTTATTTGATAGATTTTATAAAAATGGGTTAATATTCATTAATTTATTGATTTGTTTTAAACTCTTTTCCAGGGCCGGGTCGTGGGGGCAGCAGTCTTAGGAGAGAACCCCAGACTTCCCTCTCCCCAGACACTTCATTCAGCTCCTACAGGGGATCCGGAGGGGTTCCCAGGCCAGATGAGAGACATAGTCCCTCCAGCTTGTCCTGGGTTTTCCCAGAGGCCTCCTCCCAGTGGGACATGTCTGGAACACCTCCCTTGGTAGGTGTACAGATGCCTAAGCCACTTCAGCTGACTTCTCTCGATGTGGAAGAGCAGCGGCTCTACTCCGAGCTCCTCCCGGGTGACAGAAGGAAACTCATTTCGGCCTCTTGTATGCAAGATTTTGTCCTTTCGATCATGAACTAAAGCTCATGACTATAGGTGAAAGTAGAAACGTAAATTGACCTGTAAATCAAAAGCTTTGCCTTTCGACTCAGCTCCTTCTTTCTTACCACAACGGATCGGTACATCAACTGCATTACTGCTGCCGCTGCACCAATCAACCTGTCAATCTCACGTTATATCCTTCCCTCACTCGTGAACAAAACCCCAAGATACTTGAACTCCTCCATCAGGGCTAATTTTGGAGATGGCAAACCACCTTTTTCCGGTGGAGCACCATGGCCTCGGACTTGGAGGTGCTGATTCTCATCCCAGCTTTTTCACACAGCAAATCGCCCAAGAGCATGCTGAAGGTCCATGTTCGATGAAGCCAACAGAACAACATCGTCTACGAATAACAGAGATAAGATCCTATGGTCCCGGACCCCCTCCAGCCCAAGGCTGCACTTTGAAATTCTGTCCATAAAAATTATGAACAGAATTGGTGACAAAGGGCAGCACTGCTGAAGCTCAACATCCACTGGAAACAAGTTTGACTTATTGGCAGCAGTGCGAACCAAACTCCTACTCTGTTCATACAGGGATGAGACAGGCCTTAACAGAGCGCCTCTGACCCTAAACTCCCAGAGCACCATCCACAGAATGCCACGGGGGACACAGTCAAAGGCCTTCTCCAAGTCTAGAAAACACATGTGGACTGGTTGGGCATACTCCTATGGGCCCTCAAGCACCCTGGTGAGGGTATAGAGCTGATCTAGTGTACCACGGCCTGGACGAAAACCAAATTGCTCCTCCCGAATCCTAGGTTCAACCATGGGCCGGTAATATTTTCTATCAAAATACTTAAGTATCTTTGTATTTTTAAAAGACTGTAAAATACTTTGAAGAAGTCTGACATAAAAATGCGGCCTCAGATGAATGCTATCTCATTTATTTGCCTAGGCTTGAGATCAGAACAGAAAATTGATTAAGAAGGTGGTCAATGCTTGGAGTATGGATGGAAGTTATGTACACATAAAGAAAATAATAGACAAATGGCATGGGTATATTTTAGAGTAAATCAACTGGCTCAAGTAAATCAACAATCATTCTCAGTCTCAAATGCAGATGAACTTTAGAATAATAAAACACCTAAAGATGGCGTACTGGTGTTCACTAAGGGGGTAAACTGAGACTCTTTCAGTTAAAGAAGAACTGATTAAATCTTGGAAGAATTAGTCAAGTGAACATATAATTGTAGTTTTGGATTAATTGCTGATCTAGATGCCAAGAAAACAAGGCAAAACACTGTTGCTGTCAAACATTGTTTACTTCAGTGAGTCAGTTTAGTGGTGAAGAGATTGATCAAATATGCCTGTTGATGAAATGTTTGCAAAAAAATGTTATACTCCCATGTAAAAGTATTTTATAGTATTATCAAAATACAAAATACAGAATTTATTTGGATACTTGTTGCGGCTGCTGTATTTTGTAATTTATTGTAAAACTAAGGTGTTTAATATTTTATTTTAAAATACATTTCAAAGTATTTTTGTCCATCCCTGGGAATCCCAATAAAATAGTTATGTTTTGTTGTACTTTGATGAGCCACCTCTGTTTATTGGAAACATTATGAAGAAAAAAATATATTATTAATAATTTTATATAAAATAAATAGCATTATATAACGACAAATTAAAAATAAATCTCAAAAATGAACATCAAGTGAAGATAAATTTCTCTCATGCTATTAAGAGTTCATTTTCCTTTGGCTTAGTCCCTTTATTCATCAAGGGTCGCGCCAGCAGAATGAACCACCAACTTATCCAGCACATGTTTTACACAGCAAATGCCCTCAGGTGCAACCCAGTACTGGGAATCACCCACAAACACTCATTTACACACATGGCCACTCTAAAGCCAGGGTAGCACGCAACAATTGGGGGCTCGTCCGGGATATAAACCTGGGATCTTTTGCACCAAAAGTGAGAATCTACCCCTAGACAGGGCCTCCCTGGCTAACAATACCTCATGTCTTTAGAATGGGGAAAGCCGGAGCACCCAGAGGAAACCCCGGCGAACACAGGGAGAACATGCAAACTCCACACAGAAATGCCAACTGGCCCAGCTGGGACTCGAACCAGCGACCTTCTTACTGTGAGGCAACAGTTTTAACCACTTAGCCACCTCGTAACCTTATATTATATTAAGAGTTGTTTTTTTAATGTTTTCTATGTCACACCATGCAACATATTTAAGGTACAATTAAGAAAAATGTTTCGAAACAACTGTAAAAAATGCTAAAATTAGTGACCTCTTTTATTTTTTCAAACATCAGACTTCAGATTAGATAATTTTTTTTTTTTCTTCAAAAAAATTGTGTTTTACACACACACTCACAAAATCACTGCCTATTTATCATCTACAAATGTGTAGTCAGGTGTCACATGGGTGTAAAATGAATACATTTATTGGTGATATTCATATATGCATCAGCACAGCAATCCCACCATTAATATGCACTACTGAAACGCTGACACTTCTGTCAGAGGAATCCTGACAATCAATCAATGAAAGGAAGATTCAGAGAAGATGAGAAACCAAAGACGGCTAGAAAAAAAAAAAAAACAGTGGTTGCCCAGTAATGGTATAAAGAGGAGGGGGTTGTTCGCTTTAGTTGCATGACCCTGTTCATTATCCTGCCAATCTCACGTCTTAATGAACCCAACACCTCTGAGAATCAAAAAATAGATTCTAATTTGACTTCGAGATGATTGGAACCCATTTAGTTAAAAGTGCTGGAATCCTCTGAACCGAGGTTAGCTATTGAGGGGAGTATGTGGGGTAGTTCCCTGAAGACAGCCAGAACATATGAAAGAGCAATCAAAACCTTATCGTGCGTCTAAATTGTTGCCATCAGTGCTAGGTTAACCCTAATTCTGTGTCAGGTCAGGTGGGACAAAAGGTGGGGGCAACAATATGAGCTTCTCAGTGAAAAAAACATCATTATAATTGATCCTCTGTAATGTTTCTTTTCTTTCAAGACACAACTTGGATTGAAATGTGCACTGTAAATGGCACTGGGCACTGTAAAAAAAATATGTGATAAATTAGTCAAGTTCATTTTAACTTATTATCCTAAGTTAATCATGCTCTAACTTAATTTTATAAGATACGTAGGCTGTTTTAAGTCAGTTTAACATAATATAAGTTCAATAGACTCATGGGGTTAATTTGATTCAGCTTAAAAATTTAAGGCAACTAGGATTGTTTTACAGTGCAGGCGATTTTTATTATTATTATTTTAAAAAACTATTTAATAAACTATTATGGATATTTTAAGATCTCATGATGTAATATTGCTAATTTATCAACATATTAAATTACCATAAAGACATATAGGTCAATGATTTTGTTAAATTATTCCAAAAATGCTTAACATTGAGTATTAAATGCAAGAATAGTATCTGAATAGCTTGTAGTTAGTTATTAGTTTAATTTCCACTATTAACTACTGGCTTATTACGTTCGTATTATAAGACATTGGCTCTTTATAGTGCATATAGAGTAGGATCTTGTTCTACCTCCCTAATCTTACACTGTAAAAAATATATGAACAATTAGTCATGACAGCATATGTTTTTACTTTATTATAACTTATTAAACTGAGTTAATGTGTTTTAACTTGATTTTAGACATTACGCAAGCTGTTTTAAGTCAGTTTAACATAATATAAGTACAATAGACTCATAAAGTTAATTTGATTTAGTTAAAAATTTTAAGGCAATCAGGATTTTTTACAGTGCAAGGGATTTTTTTTATTATTTGAAAACAAATCAATAAACTATAATGGATACTTTAAGATGTCATAATGTAATATTGCTTATTTATCAACATATTAAATTACCATAAAGGCATACAGGTCAATGGTGTTGTTAAATTATTCCAAAAATGCTTAACATTGAGTATTAAATGCAAGAATAGTGACTGAATAGCTTGTAGTTAGTTTAATTTCCACTATTAACTACAAGCTTATTCCTATATTATTAAGATATTG